AAACGGGAGTTGCATAATCTCATAGTTACAGGAACATGTATAAGTCATGAAGAAAGCAATAGCAACATACTAAACGATCAAGTGCTAGGCTAACGGAATGGGTCATGTCAATCACATCATTGTCCTAATGATGTGATCCCGTTAATCAAATGACAACTCTTTTGTCCATGGCTAGGAAACATAACCATCTTTGATAAACAAGCTAGTCAAGTAGAGGCATACTAGTGACACTATGTTTGTCTATGTATTCACACATGTAATATGTTTCCGGTTAATACAATTCTAGCATGAATAATAAACATTTATCATGATATAAGGAAATAAATAATAACTTTATTATTGCCTCTAGGGCATATTTCCTTCAAAGTCTGGACACATGAGCGTGTTCGGATTTTATACTCACGAGTTCACCAGGGGCAAGGCCCTGGGATCCCACTCCGGGCTGCTATCGGCGGCGGCGGTGGACTCCTCTTGAAGAGGAGTTTTTCCCCTCTTAGACGAATCGGCCTCCAAGGATGTGGAGGCCGTCCTTTTCTCTTTTTTTTCCGGCAGGGGATTCGTCTTCCTCCTCCTCCCCGTCCTCTCCGGAGGAAGAATGGGCATTGGAGTCTTCGAATTTTGTGTCCGAGGCTCCACGGCGATGGAGGCCGCCACTGGTCTTCTTGGCCTCCTTTTTGGCCTTCTTCTTCGGCGCCTTATAAGGCGCCGGGACCAGCATCTTCATCAGAAGTGGGCCAGCCGGTTCTTCTGGCAGCGGGGCCGGACAGTAGATCTGCCCCGCCTTCTTCACCCAGCCCTAGGAAATTGATGGGAAATACGTTAAGTATTTTCCTGAGGATGTGCAGATAAAACACATGAATTGTCAAACATACAGTTACTTACCGAACTTGCAGGGCGGGACAGTTGGTACCCGCGGTCCTTGGTGGAGTCCGGCCATGGCTTGCCGGACTTAAAAAGCACCTTCCAGATGTCCTTGTGCGTAGAGCCAAAGAGCTCTAGCAGGGTCTGGTGCTTGGCCGGGTCGAACTCCCATAGATTGCAAACCCGGTGTTGACATGGTAGAATCCCGCGAACCAACATCACCTGGACTACATTGACGAGCTTGATGCTCTTGTCTTCCATGTCTTGGACGCGCGTCTGGAGCTCTGATAGCTCGTCGGACGAAGCCCAGTTCAGGCCCTTCTTGTGCCAGGACGTAAGCCGCAGGGGGCACCGGATCTGAACTCTGGAACGGCGGCCCATTCCTTGCCACGCGGCTCGGTGATGTAAAACCACTGCTGCTGCCACTCCTTGACGGAATCATTGAAAGTACTTGTTGGCCATGTAACATTGGGCATCTTGCTCACCATGGCACCTCTGCATTCGGCATGCTCGCCACTCACTACCTTGGGCTTCACATTAAAAACCTTCAGCCATAAGCCGAAGTGCGGCGGGACGCAGAGAAAGGCCTCGCACACGATGATGAATGTCGAGATGTTGAGGAAGCAATTTGGGGATAGATCATGAAAGTCAATCCCGTAATAATACATGATGCCACGAATGAACGGATGAAGGGGAAACCCTAGCCCACGGATAAAATGAGGGAGGAATACCACCCTCTCGTGGGGTTCCGGAGTGGGGATGATCTGTCCCACTGTCGGAAGACGGTGGCCAATTCTCTTGGCCAGATACCCCCCCCCCCCCCGAAGCTTTTTGATATCCTTCTCCCGGACGGTGAGGCCATCCACTTGTCTCCTGCTCCGAATCCGGACATCTTCAGGAAGCCTTTTTGGGCGGAGAAGAGGAGTGCTTGGGCACTAGGGTTCGAGCGAAAAGGAATGGATGAATAGAGGAGGGTGCGGGTGAAAAAGGGAGTTCTTATCCCCTTATAAAGGCAGCAGAGATCCTGCGCCTCCCCACTTGCCCACTAAAATCGCTTATTTCCCAAGCGCCACGATTGATGGCACGGTTGGGTTACCACACCCGTATTGATGAGAATCCCGTGATAAGGGGACACGATCTCTGCTTTGACGAGACGTGCCGATAAAGCTGCCTCGCGATATGTGCGGTGGCAGGTTGTGAAAAACGGTTCGAAAAAGACCGGACCGCGGCGTGATGTCATAAAAAGCCATCAGCAGATCAGATCTTGGAATATTATACTCTCTACGGTGGTATATGGAATTTGTTTTGCAGAGCCGGACACGATTCTCGTGTTCAAAATCTTCTATGGAGTATTCGGAGAAGGAACCCGCCTTGCAATGTCGAAGACAATCTGCGCGCCGGACTCATCGTCATTGAAGTCTGGTTCAGGGGCTACTGAGGAGTCCTGGATTAAGGGGTCCTTGGACAGACGGACTATATACTTTGGCCGGACTGTTGGACTATGAAGATACAAGATTGAAGACTTCGTCCCGTGTCCGGATGGGACTCTCCTTCGCGTGGAAGGCAAGCTTGGCAATTCGGATATGTAGGTCTCCTTCTCTGTAACCGACTCTGTGCAACCCTAGCCCCCTCCAGTGTCTATATAAACCGGAGGGTTTCATCTGTAGGACAACAACAATCATAATCATAGGGTAGATTCTAGGATTTAGCCTCTACGATCTCGTGGTAGATCAACTCTTGTAATACTCATATCATCAAGATCAATCAAGCAGGAAGTAGGGTATTACCTCCATCAAGAGGGCCCGGACCTGGGTAAAACATCGTGTCCCCTGCCTCCTGTTACCATTAGCCTTAGACGCACAATTCGGGACCCCCTACCCGAGATTCGCCGGTTTTGACACCGACAGTAGGGAGCACACTGAACATGGGAAGAAGGCAACATGCAGATCTAGCGCCGCCAGCCGGCAGGGTTGCGTGCTGAAGCCCCATCCACCGGAAGCCCGCCAACCGCATGGCCAGGCCACTAGCACCACGCCTACCGCCAAGCCAATGGAGTATCGCCGGAAGGGTCGTCGCCCCAAATACAGAGAGCCACGCTCACCCATCTCCGAAGAGACGAGCAGCTCGCGCAAAGCCGGCCGCTCCAGCCACCGCAACGAGCACCACTCCGAGGCCCCATCCTTGACTGACCCCCTCCAAGCACCCCAACGCCATGATCCAGATCTGGCCGCTCCAAGCAGAGGAAGCGACCCACCAGACGGGGAAGCAGCCAGCAACGGCCATGCCTGCTCCCCAGGCCGGCCGGCGGCAGGAGGCAAGGCCCCAGCCCCCGGGAAGGCCACCAGGACGAGATCCAGCGGCGGCGATCACCACGTAGCCACGTGCCGCCAAGGACGAAGCGGGCGAGCAGGGAGGGGAACCAACGCGGGGATGGATGGAGGAGGAGGTGGAAGGGGTCCCGCCGCCGCCGCGGGCCGATCGGAGGCTGCCGGCGCCGGCGGCAAGGCGAGCCAGTCGAGGGTGG